GGCAGCCCATTCACTTACACGCACACACTGACACACACACTGACACACTCTGAGGACGCCTCATTCCCTTACACACACACTTGCAAACGGTTACTCACACACACAATTAGACATATACATTCATAGGTACACACACACACACACACACACAGTTGAGGGTGAGCATTTCAGGAGGTGCGCGTGTGTGGGTGCAACGATGCCATCGTTTGGATGAGACGTTAAACTGAGGTCACATCTGCCTGTTCAGGTGGACGTTAAATATCCCTTGGCGCTATTGGAAAAGGGAGTTTCTTTCTCCCGGTGTCCTGGCCAACGATCCCCCAGATAAAATTGGTCACTCACTCACTCCATGGCTGTTTGTGGGCACACTATTGTGTGCAAGCTGGCTGCTGCGTTTCGCCCACAAAATACAGTCACCACGCTTCACAATAAAGTGTGCTTTGAGATATCTTGACAAAGTGATAAGGCGCTGTGTCAAACGCAAGAATAACACATGACATTTATAGAAGCGAGGATTATAATAAGAATAAAAACAGGGTGTGTGTGACCGAGCAAAACCCCATGACAGCGATGGTGTCAGTCACACAGCAAAAGATGTGTTAATTTCACAAGCTCTTGTCTTTTTCCTTTTCTTTCCTTCCTCTCCTCCTAAACCAGCTATATTAGATGCTACATTGCAAGAGGTCTGGGCAGCGAGAGAGATCTAGCTTCTCCTTTGCCTTGCCTTGGCAGCACACTCGGCTTGTGAGCTCTTTATATGAGACACTGAGTTCTGAAAGCTTCCGCCTCATAACAGCTTAAAAAGGGCAATACATATGTTCACGTCCAATTCATTTTTTATTTCACTCTCCCCAGTTTCCCTCAAGCTTGTATCCGTGACAGCAAATCCGCTCACTGGAGCTCACTGGCTCACGGCCGTCACTCTAACCGCTTGCCTAACCCGATGGAAACTCGCGGAGATCACATAACTGCAGGATGAATTGCGTATGAAACAAAAAATCCCTTTAATGTAAATGGGACGTGTACAACTGCATGTACAGTTCAGCCATTGCCAAGCGAGAAGCGCAATTAAAAGGGCAATGCAGTTTTTAATACAGCCGGTTCTTAGAACATCAATTTTAGTGAACGCCCGTCTCACGTATACACTGTATCTCTCCTGATTAACCTTCGCCTCATCGCCACCCTCACTTCGTGCCCTCACCGACAACAACTGTTCTGTCAGCCTGTGTCAGTGGTACCGCTCTCGCCTCCGAGTCAGAGGATGTGGGTTAGAGCCCCAATTTAGGGCTTGGAACAACATACGCTAAACTGACACTTCCAATGCTGTGCTGGGGGTGTGTTACGTTTTTGGGTACAGTCCTTCAAATGAGCTATTAAACCGAGGTCCCATCTGCCTGTTCAGGTGAACGTCAAAGATCCAGCGGCACTATTCAAAAAGAGGGGAATTTCTCTCTCTCAGTGTCCTCGCCAACAATCCCCAAAATAAAATTGGTCACTCGATCCTTGGCTGTTGGTGGGACAATTGCACGTTGCCACGTTTTGTCCACAAAATACAGCCACTGCACTTTACAGTTTATCCTGTGAAGCACTTGAGACATCTCAACCACGTGATAAGGAGTTGTATCAAATGCAAGGATTAGTATTATTATTGTTATTATGATTATGATTATAACCACCATCACAAATAACAGAGGGGCTCAAAGGGAACTTGCAAACTTGTGTTGCTTGCAAACCTTACACGTGTATTTCTCTATTGTCACTGAGAATAATTTACACATTTGTACTGTACCCTCACATATATTTCTTCTCAATTCGCAATATTTTTCTCATGTATTTTTTTCACTTGGTAATTTTTTTCAAGAGCAATTTTCGTAACTCCTTCTGGTGTGTAAGCAGGTTTATGTATCATGTCGAAACATCTCTGAATGCTTTAGAAATTTACAGTAAAATGTAGTAACTACATTTTGTGAGCAAATGCAGCAGGCGATTTGCACACAGCAATATCCCACAAACAGCCCTGGAGTGGGTGATCGATTTGATTTGGGAGATTGTTGACCAGGTCACTGGGAGAGAGAAACTCTCTTCTCTTTTCCAACAGCACAGAGCTCAAATTTTCCTGCCAGACCTGCTCTTTCTGTCAGACTGCTCTGTGGGCAGTCTGTCTGTCTGCCCCACAGAGAGGGTTTAAACAGGGATACACATCACATGGTTAAAGATTACTGAAGGTTTGTTTGAGAGAATGAATGTGCAAAAAAGAGTGACTGAGTGATAGTCCTTAGTATGAGACATTAAACGTAGATCCTGTCTGTGCTTGTTCAGGTAGACTTTAAAGATCCAGAAGTTATTTTCTTCTGGTGTCCTGGCCAACAATCCCTCAAATAAAATTGATTACTGACTCCATGGCTGTTTGTTGGACATTGATATGTGCAAACTGGCTGCCGTGTTTCGGTAACAAAATGAACAGTCAATGCGGTTTACAGTTTATCCTGCGAAGCGCTTTGAGACATCTTGATAAAATGATAAGGCTCTATATCAAACGCAAGGATTATTTTTGCTATTATAGTGAGAGTGAGAGAGTGGGCAGGGGAGGGAAGAGGGGAAGTGAGGGGACGGTTTGAGAGTTCCTGAGGAAGAGGCGGGGTTGGGGGTAGGAAGAGTGAGAGTGTGGCTGAAACAAAGACAGGTGGACAGTCTCTTGCCTCCCCTACCCCAGCAGTTTGCCCATTTATCTATCTCGCATTTCCCGAAAAGATCTCCCTTGATGTACCAAATACATTTTCTTCCATTTATTAAAGGGGGGTGGGGGGAGGGAGAGCGGTGCCCTTTTAAGAATAAACAAAAAACGTGCATCGGTCGATTCTGCTCCCCCCCACCCCCCCCCACACTCTATCAATCCCCCCTCCTTGTCGCCTCACGCGCTATTAAGGAAGCAGCTGTCTGTAAAGCTCTGAGGGAGACAGAGAGACCAGCCTGGAGATGGGACCCACCTCAGTCTAACAACCGTTTCCCTTTCACAATCCCTGTGTTTCAAACCGACCTCATAGACACGCTGATCAGTGCAAAATAACCACAGTTCCTCATTATGTATAACCCGCCACCCGCACCCCCACTCCACACACACAAGTAACCTGTACCTCAGTGGTTAGAGCTCTCGTCTCGTAAGCCGGAGGACCTGGGTTCAATTCCTGGAGGGCGAAACGTTGGGTAAGTTTCCTTACTCCACATGCCTCTGTTCAACTCGCAGTACGTAGGAACCAGTTGTTAACCAGTTGTTAGTCGATTGGAGGATCGCTTTTCTGGGGGTTATAATCCCTTCCAAAAATAAAATAATAATAATTTGGTCACTGCTGTTTGCAATTGTTCATTTTATATTCTGTGAAACGTTTTGAGACGTCTCAAAGATGTGATAAGGCTCTATAGCAAATGCAAGGATTATTAGCATTATTATAACCCCCCCCACACACAATGTAATAATAATCCTTGTATTTAAATATTTAATGTTGCTTCACAGAATATATTGCAAAGTGGATTGACTATGTATTTTGTGGGCAAAACGTGGCAGCCAATTGCGCACATTAGTGTCCCACAAGCAGTCACATATTGAGTTATATTTTTTTGAGGGATTGTTACCCACCAAGCGGTCTGCCGATCGACTAACCACCAGATTCCTACTCTACTGCTAGGTAAACAGAGGCAAGTGGAAATATAAGACCCCCTCCCCACCCCACACACACAATATAACACTCCACACACACACACACACACACACAATATAACACCCCACACACAATATACAATACAAAATTACATCTGTAAAGCGCCTTTCACATCAGGAGGACATCCCAAGGCACTGAACAGTTAGGGATTAGGACCAGAGTGGGAGGGGGCTGGCGGGGGGCTGGCGAAGGGGGTTGGGATCAGGGAGGATGGAGGACAGAGTGGGGCAGGCCGGGTGTGGGACAATGGGTAGGCCAGAGGGAGCGCACAGGTTGATAAGAGGTTAGCAGATTGGAGACGTAGGAAGCGGCAAGGCCATGGAGGGCCTTGAAGGCGAGGACGAGGATTTTCAAGTCAATCCTCTGAAGGATGGAGAGCCAGTGGAGCCGGGCGAGAGTGGGTGTGATGGGGTCACAGAGCCTGATGCGGGAGAGGACACAAGCTGTAGAGTTCTGGATGATCTGCAGCTTGTGGAGAGAAGAGTTGGGAAGGCCGACGGGTGTTGGCATAGTCGAGCCTGGATGTAATTAAAGCATGTATGAGGGTTTCAGCAGCCTGAGGGGTGAGACAGTGGCTGAGTCGGGCAATGTTGCGGAGGTGGTGGAAGGCAGAGCGGGTAATGGCATGGACGTGGGGGAGAAAGGACAGTTGAGGGTCAAACAAGATTCCTAGATTCCTGACTGGCTGGGTGAGTGAGGTTCGGTGGGCGTGAGAAATGGGACGGGGAGGGAGAGGAGCTCAGAGGAAACTGAAGGTGAGGAGATGTTGGCGGCAGCAGAGGAAAACAAAGACAGTCTTGTCTGTTTGGTTTGAGACGGCTCGAAAACATGATAAGAACTGTATCAAATGCAAGGATTATTATTATTATTATCAAGAATCCAGTCTGTCCATCAGACATCAAAGTCTTGAATGCGTTGGAGGAAGATGGGGATCATTCAAGACCTTGATGTCTGCAGACGGACAGATGAACAGTAGATCTGGAGACTGGACTGGAGGAGAAGTAGACTTAGGGATGGTCCACACACGTGTCTGGGGATGACATCTGTGTGGATGGGGAAGAAGAGGGAGACTGGATGTTAGGGAGGGTAGGGAGCTAAGGATTGAACAGGTTTATGAGGTTGTCTGTTAGTTCAGTGAGGTGAGGCATGCTGCTGGTGACCGTGTGAAGACTGGAGGAGAGACCATCAGGGGAGAGACCGAGCGGAGGCCTTGGTTTGGGTCAGGTCAGAGTTGGAACCAAGAGCCACGGAGATGACTGAGAGAGGAGAAGCGATAGAACGAGGAGTGGAGGCAGAGAGGTGAGAGCAGAGTTGTAATAATAATAAAAAAAAGTGAAGTCCTGTAGTGTATTGGCTAGAGAGCTCACCTTGCAACCAAGAGGACCTGGGTTTGATTCCCGAGTGGCGTGAAACCTTAGGCAAATTTCCTTACTCCATACACATCTGCTTACCTAGCAGTAAGTAGGAATCCGTTTGTTAGTTGATTGGCGGATTGCTTGCTGGGGGGTAAATAATTACCCCAAAAAAAATCTCGTCACTCAATCCACGACTGCTTGTGGCACACTGCTGTGTGCAAATTGGCTGCCGCATTTCGCCCACAAAATACAGTCAATCCACTTTACAGTATATTTTGTGAAGTGTTTTGAGACGTCTCAATTATGTGATAAGGTGCTATATCAAATACAAGGATTATTATTGTTGTTATTAATAATAATTAGATGTAATCCAGTGCCTTTCATGTGTGGAAGAAATCTTGAAGCGCTTCACAGGGTTTACTGTAAAGTGCAGTGACCGTGTGGTTTGTAAGCATACACAGCAGCCAATTTGCGCACAGCAATGTCCCACAAACATTCATGGAGTGAATGATTGATTTCATCTGAGGGATAGTTGGCCAGGCCACTGGGAGAGAGAAACTCCTTTCTCTTTTCCAATAGAGTCGCGGGATCTTTAAAGTCTACCCGAACAGGCACAGACAGGACATCCGATTAATGTCTCATCTGAAGGACAGCTCCTCTGACAATGTGGAACCCCTCAAGCATTGCGCTGGGGCATCAGCCTGGGAGTAGATTGGATGGATGGATAAGAGATATAGAGAGATTGTGGTTGAAGAGGATGGGATGAAGGGTGAGTTTTAGCTGAGCTGGTGTGGGGGGAGGTGGGGTGGCTGGCAAGCGGAGGGGAGAGGTGGAATGTTGGGGGAGAGCCGCATGGAGGAGAAAGAGAGAGAGAGGGACCGACGGAGGAGAAGATATGGCAAAGATACAGAGAATAAAGCTCTGCTTCGATCCTCAGCTACCTTCCCTCCACATCGCGGCTTTGATCTCACACTCCAGGCTGACACCCACTGCAGTGCTTGGGGGAGCACTGCATTGTCAGAGGGGGAAAGGAAAATTAGTATTGAACGGGACTGTGAGGTTGTACATTAGATCAGTGAGTTATAGCGAGAGAGAAAGAGAAAGACCGAGGAAGTCGGATCCGGGTGTGAGGAGACATGACCAGGAGCCTGTGTTCTGTCTGAGTTTCGCTGGAGAAGGCTTAGATTTGTCCAGTATTTGACGTCTCTCAGGCAGGTGGTCAGGACATCAATAAACCTACAATTGAGGATAGAGTAAATAATGATAATGACAATACATCTGGATGACGTCTCAAAGCACTTCACAGGATTTAGTGTAAAATGTAGTGACTGTGTAGGTGAATGCGGAAGCATATTTTTGCACAGCAACATCCCAAAAACAGTCATGGAGTGAGTGACCGATTTTATTTGGGGGATTGTTAGTCAGGACACTGGGAGAGAGAAAGTCCATTCTCCTTTCCAATAGTATCGCGGATCTTTAACATCCACCTGAACGGGCACAGACATGGCCTTGGTTTATTACCTCATCTGAAGGACAGAACCTCTGACAATACAGTGCTCCCCTCAGCACTGCACTGGAATGTCAGCCTAGACTGTGAGCTCAAAATCCCCTATCCACAAACTTTCTGACTCAGAGGTGAGAGTACAAGTGACTGAGCAAGGCTGACACCTAAGTAGTGGTTACAAATAAACAGAGAGAAATATGTACTGAGGCAAATGTACAGACAGAAAGACTGACAGAGATACACACATACAGAGAGACAAATACTTAGACAAGGTGTGTAATTAGACAGTGAGTCTGTAATAGGTTTAGGCACCGAGAGAGAATGTAAGTGTGGGTGTGGGGAGTCCTAATTTTCCTTTCTCCTCTGCTGTCTCTTTCCTCATGTCTCTTTCTGACAAACATACTGTCTGCACTTTGATCAGCCCCAGAGATCAACAACCACACAGATCAAACAAATAGTAACGAGAGAGACTGAGACAGAGACTGGGGGAAACGAGAGAGAGAGAGACTGTACGAGAGAGACTGAGACAACGAGAGAGAGAGACTGGGACTGAGAGAGACAGCGAAAGAGAATGAGAGAAATGCTGAGACGGATGGAGAGACTGAGAACACAGAGAGCGCAAGAGAGATAGAGACTGAGACAGTGTGAGAAAGAGAGAGACTTTGTACGTTTTCAGCCAGTGACACTGTTCAGTCTCTCAGCAGATGCTGCTGTTCAGTGTAACAGTAAAGATCCCTGATGTTTATTGCTAAAATGTTAACTTAATGACTTCCCTCTGTCCCTGTCAGCCACAGAATTCTGCTCCAGCCTCTGGCCTCCTGAGCCATTGGTGAGCTCTGTGGTCAGAGAAACACTGATAATCTGACACATTGCTCCTATATCATAACACAGGCAGAGAGAGGACATAGGCACAGACGGAGATGAGAGAAACAGACAGAGAGAGATGGACAGAAAGAGAGACAGAGAGGGAGAGATTTTCGACCCTGGGGCAGTCTCTCTTTATTTCAATCTTAAATTATTTTTTTTTAACTGAAAAAATACACAAGGATCCAAAATTATTATTATATATATCTATGATTTGTAATTCTTTTGTTTCACAAAAAAATAGCTGGGAATGCATTTGAACAGTTGGTAACATTTGGCTGTTCTTTCTCTTTATGACTAATAATAATCCTGATATTTGATCCAGCGCCTTTCATGGCAGGAGAACATCTCAAAGTGCTTCCCAGGATTCACTGTAAAGTACAGTGACTGTGTGTTTTAAGCCAAAGCCCTAACGGGTGGAGTGATCCTAGCTGGACAAGCAGCGGGAAAGCTTGCCCGACAGGGCTCTATGCGGTTTTAGCTGGTCTCTCTCTCTCTCTCTCCAGTTACCCCAATGTACACTCTGGCGTTCCCAAGCCTTGGCTCTTGCCAACCTGCACCTAATACTTTTGGGAATTTCTATGTGAAAGTAGAAACATGGAATTCTCAGTCTGGTTCAGAGTTCCACATATCCCACGTCACAGTATCCCACTACACACTCCCATCTCAAGACCTTCCTTTTCAACCGTGCCTTTGGTCATCTTTCCACCCCCAACCCCACCCTCATTTTCCGCCTTTCTTGAACCCAACCAACAGCTTGGGTGCAAACCCTTCACTGTCTAGCACCTTGGGACGTACTCCCAACATGAAAGGCGCTATATACATGTAATTGTTGTTGATTTGGACACTTAAGCATGGTGATGGGGTTCCACGTGTGTCAGACTCCCGGCTGCTGACCAAAAAAAAGTAAACAAAATGCGGCAGCCAAATTGCTCAGAACAATGTTCCACAAACAGCCTGGTGTCAACAACAACAACCTGCATTTATACAGCACCTTTCACAAAGGGAGGACGCCAAAACAGTTAAGGATTTGCACTTGAGCTGGGAGTTGGGATCATGAGGGGTGGAATGTAAGGAAGGTGACTGAAGACATGGTCGAAGAGGACTATCTTGGGATAGCCCTTGAAGGACGTAAGGGAGGATGCAAAGTGGAGGGGCTCCGGGATGGAGTTCCAAAGAGTGGGGGCAGAGAGGCTGAAGGCCTGACTGCTGATGATGGGGTGGTCGGTGATTGAGTTGCTGGGCTAATGGTTGATGTGTCTAATCTCTTTCTCTTTCTCTCTGTCACATTCTTTACAGACGGCGTTTATCCCCAGTGAGGGACCACACAAAAACGAAGGTAGGTACTTTATATCCCACTGACGTTTCTGATCTGGGCAAAAATGATGAAGGAAATGGGGGAAGTTCATAGCTTAGCACTGGTATTGTTTAGCTGATCTGTCTCTTCACTCCCCCAACAACCTGCTCCCTCTTTCTCTTCCTCTCACTGTCTTCTCTCATTCACTCTCAGTCTCGCTCATACTCATTCTCTCTAACTCATTCTCTCTCTCCCTCTCACTCTTACTAACTTATTCTCACTCTCACACACTCTTACACTCACCCTCACACTCTGTCTTACTCTCACTCTCTTACTCTCCCTCTTTCTCTCTTAACACTTTCTCATTCTCTCTTTTACTCTCACTCATTCTCTCCTACTCTTACTCTCACACTCTCTGTCTGACTTTCATTTCTCCCTGAGGTCAGCCAGTGAGAGCTGAGTTACCAGCCCCACCTGCTGGTCATTGCATTTCCAGGGAAATGGTGTGTATCTGTGTGTGTGTGTTTACCTGTGTGTATCTGTGTACCTGTGTGTGTGTGTCACCACGTAAGGAACTGTGAGCTCAGACGTCCAATACTGGGGCTGCACTGATTGACGGAGATCCATCCTTCAGATGAAACATTAAACTGAGCTCCTGTCTCTGTTGGAAATGAGAGTCAGTCACTGGTGGCTGTGTGTGGGATGCCTCTATGTGTAAATTGGCTGCTGTGTTCATCTACAAATACTGTACCCAGTCACTAAGCTTTAAACTGAATCCTGTGAGTCGTTTTGAGACGTGTCAATGCTACAAGTGATATTGTTTGCAACAGTATTGTTTTAGGTGATATTGGTTATTATTATAGTGATATTTATTAATATAGTGATATTTATTATTAGAGGTGATATTAGTTATTTTTGAAAGTAATTATTATTATAAGTGACAAAATTATGATTTATTATTATGATAAGTGGGTTCTGACAAAAGGTCACAGACCTGAAACGTTAACTCATTTTCCTCTCTCCGTGGATGCTGTCTGACCTGCTGCGTGTTCCCAGTAACTTCTGTGTTTATACCAGATTTCCAGCATCTGCAGTACTTTGCCGTTTGATTATTAAAGCTCATATTGATTACAGGATTATTATTTAGTAATCCATAATTAGTCAATTGGAGCCCTGTAGCTCAGTGGTTTCAGCACTCGCTTCGAAAGCAAGAGACCTAGGTTTGATTTCCAGCAGGCGAAACCTTGGGCAAGTTTCCTTACTTAACACACCTGATATTAATCGCTGAAGGAAAAAAATAATAATTTGGTCACTTAATCCACGACTGTTTGTGGGACACTGCTGTGCACAATTGGCTGCTGCGTTTTGCCTGCAAACATACTGTCAATTGACTTTATAGCATATTCTGTGAAGCGCTTTGAGATGTCTAGAAGACATGAAAAGCGCTGTATCAAATGCAAGGATCATTATTATTATTATTATTATTATTATTAATACATCATGTTATCCCAAACCAACTCTCCCTCTCTCTCCTCTGTTTCCCTTTTCTCTATCTCTTAACTCCTCTCTCTCTCTCTTTCCGCTTCCCCACCCCCCCCACCACCTTCTTCTTCCCGTCACAGTTAAGTCAGACTGTCACACTGGCTGCGTAGTCGAGCAGAAGGACAGTAGAGATGGCCTCGGCCCTGTGCTGCTGTCAGTATCAGTGGGAGAGTGGGAGGGAGAGAATGACAGAGGTAGAGGGAGAGAGGGTAGGAGCGAGCGAGTGAGGGAGAGAGAGACAGAGGGAGAGAGTGAGGGAGCCAGTGTACAGTGAGTGATTGAGTAGCGTGTGTGTTGTGTGACCTTCAGGGAGCTTGTCATTGCCAGCGGCCTCGCTCTCTACACTGTTAACCCTCTCTGTGCTGCGGCTCCCATACTCACATTCTCCCCTATTCCTTCATTGTTCCCTTCCCATTCCCTCCCTCACCCTTGGGTATACCCTCCCCTTCCCTTCCCCACCCCATTGGCACAAATATGCTATATATCACATATATATATACATATAATATAGCATCTATAGAACTAAATTAATGTATAGATTATATGCTTACGGCAATCATTACTGCTAAGTTTTTATATTCCTGGAAGTAATAAAGAGCTCACAGTAAAGTTACTAACTTCCCCCCCCATCCCCCGCCACCTGTGTGTGGGGACCAGTGCTCAACACGTGTGTATGTGCGTGCATGTGCACGTGTGTTTGCGGACATGGGTGGGTGTGAGTATGTGCTTGTGTGTGTGTATGGAGGTTGGGGGAGTGTATTCTTGTGGGTATACTTGGTGTGTGTATGTACTGTGTGTATATACTGTGTTGTACACTGTGAATATATTGTGGGTATATAATATGTACATGGCATTCTATGTTACATTAGTTTGTACACTGTGTTTGTATATTGTGTGTGATGAGTATGTGTGTGTATGAGTGTGTGTGTGTATAAGTATCTGTGTGTGTGATGGGTATTTGTGTGTGTGGTGTGCATATATACAGTACATTAGCTGAGGACAGGCTGCAGTAACTGAAGGTTATGAGTGAAGGTTAAGAGCATTAATCTCAGGGCCTGTTGATCCCAGGCTCGACTCCCATCAGAACTCACAGGCCAACCTCGCTGGGAGCGCGGGGGAGGGAGGTCGGGAGGTAACATTTAACACATTACAGAGGGAAAAAAGATAAAAATCCACAAATTATTAATAATAATTGTGATGTTTGATCCAAGGCCTTTCAAATTGAAGGGACATCTCAAAGTGTTTCACAGGATTCACTGAAAAGTGCAGTGGCTGTGTATTTTGTGGGAGAAACGTGGCACCCCCTCTCTGAACACTAGAGTGTCAGCCTAGATTGTGAGCTCCAAATGCTGATGTCGGCTTCATTCCGCAGCCTTCTGTCTCGGAGGCGAAAGTGAAATGACTGAGCTGGGGGGGAGGGGGGTCACATTTTTTGGGGGGAGAAGGGTGTTCCTTTCCTCCATCACTGTAGTCCTATAAGGTATTGGTTAGAGTGCTCGCCTCGCAAGCGAGAGGAACCGGGTTCGATTCCCGGGTCGGGCGAAACCTTAGGCAAGTTTCCTTACCCCATACGCTTCTGTTTACCTAGCAGTAAGTAGGAACCCAGTTGTTAGTCCATTACTTTCCGGGGGAATAATCCCTCCAAATAAAAAAAATATATTTACTCGATCCATGACTGTCTGTGGGACATTGCTGTGTGCAATTGGCTGCTGCATTTCGCCCACAAAATATACAGTCAATCCACTTTACAGTATATCCTGTGAAGAGTTTTCGTGGAATCGTAGAATCTTACAGAGGAAGGCCATTTGACCCAAAATTCCTGCGCTGGCTCTTTGAAAGAGCTACCCAACTAGTCCCACTCCCCCGCTCTTACCTGCAAATTATTCCTGTTTAATTACCTATCCAATTCCCTTTGAGACAGCTCAATAATATGATAAGTCACTGATGCGATATGACAAGGATAATTATTACATTATTATTTTTATCACGTACAAGTACCCAGTCTCTACATGTCAAAATACACGTCTCTATAGTAAAGTCCCGTGATTCTCTTGCAGTTATCACGTGGCGAGCCGTGATATCAAATTTGAGCGTTATTATATCTGTTAGCAATTACTCGTTATTCAGTTAAACAACTGCACTGTCCCTGAGGCGTAAGGAAGGGGGGTAAAGGGTTCCCTTGAGAGCCCATCTCCCCCGTCTCCCCGCCAGACATGGGAACAGTTAAAATACTACCTGTACATTACTGATTCCATGCTCTTCCCCACACACTCCCTTCCAGAGACTCCAATTGGCTCAGTTCTCTGTTCAGTTGAGACCCAGCGCAGCCTGACTTCTTGTCCTTCAGATGAGACGTTAAACCGAGGTTCCATCTGCCTGTTCAGGTGAATGTTAAAGATCCCATGGCACTATTCGAAAAGAGAATAGAGTTTCTCTCTCCCGGTGTTTTGGACAACAATACCCCAGATAAAATTATTCAGTCACTCTATTGGCGGTTTATGGGAACATTGTTGTCTGCAACTGGCTGCCGAGTTTCGCCACAAAATACACAGTCATTACACTTTACAGTATATTCTGTGAAGCGCTTTGGGACGTCTAGAAGACATGAAAAGCGCTATATCAAATGCAAGGATTATTATTATTATATCAAATGCAAGGATGATTAAGCACTCCGAGACACCGTCCAACGTGAAGGACGTTATATAAATGCAAGTTGTTGTTGTTATTATTATTGTTGTCCTTGCGGTGTAGATGTGGATTTATGCTGTTGCTTTTTATAGTGTGATGCCCATCAGTGAACCTGAGAATCTCCAAACCAAAATATGGAGTATTCCATGGGTCTGCTTTAGAAACCACACTCTCTAGCCCCTGGAGTGACACATCCTGCTCATCTCATCCAGAGAGTTAGAGGCCCAATAAAAAGCCCCCTAACCTAATCCCGGAATGTTTCAGGCGCAGGTTGGCAAGCTTTCCTGCTGCTTGTCCAGCTCGTACCCACCCTACTGTTAGGGATTTGGCTTGCAAGGTTAATAGGTGTGTGAGGATTCCCTGCCCCTAGTGACTGGTCTGCCCTTCCAAGTCCTGCCAATGAGCCAGGCTGTCATCAGCAATGCCCTGGAACAGTGTGGACCCACCTGGCTCAGGAACTGGACGAGGGACCATCACAGAGGGCTGGCTCGATTATGACATTTCGTTGCCAGGAGTGTAATCTTGGAGCCAGTTCAGCTCCAGACTTGACAGTAATCTCTGTAAACCCTTTGAGATGTTTTGATGTTACAATTTCTGTGTCAAACGAAGGGATTATTAATGTAATGATGCTCAGCAGTGACTGCGTCTCTAGCCTCTGTAACTCCCTCCCTCAACCCCTCTCCCACCCTTCTCTATCAGTCCCACCCCCTCCATCTTCCCCACTTTCCAGCAGTTTCTTCCTATTCACCTCGCCCTCTCTCTACCCCTCTCAACTTGCACCCTTTCTATCAGCCTCTACCCCTCCATCTCTATCAGTCTCTGGGGAATAGTGATGGAGCCTGACTCTGAGCCGGGGGAGGGGGGTGGTGATCTCAAGCACAGTTGAAGGGGAATGCCTTCAGGTGTGATATGAAGACGGAGAAGGAGGGGGCAAGGTGGGGAGGTTGAGGCAGAGAATTCCAGAGTTTCGGGGACAGATGTGAGTTAGACTGGCTGAAATAATAATAATAATCCTTGCATTTGTTATAGCACTTTATCACGTGATTGAGACATCTCAAAACGCTTCACAAGATATACTGTAAATTTGGAGTGACTGTATATTTTGTGAACGAAATGCAGCAACAGCCAATTGAGCACAGCAGTGTCCCACAAACAGCTATGGATTGAGTGAGCAAATGTCTTTTTTTTTGGGAGGGATTATTCGCCTCTGCCCCTGACCCCTGCTTGTGTTGCTCTTGCAGTTATTAAATTCATGGACGTGTGGAACAAGAGTTATTGTCGGACGATCGAGACGCTGGTGGAGATCTTACAGGAGCACCCGGACCAGGTGGAGTACATCTTCAAACCCGCCTGTGTTCCTCTCTTGCGCTGCGGGGGCTGCTGCAACGACGAGAGCCTGGAGTGCGTGCCCACCGAGCTGCACAACGTCACCATGCAGGTAAGAAACAACAACAATATAGAGCAACAACAACAACAATAACAAGTGGAGTCCCATAGCCTAGTGGTTAGAGCGCTCAGCTTGCAAGAGAGAGGACCCAGGTTTGATTCCCAGAGAAGGGAGAAACCTTAGGCAAGTTTGCTTACTCCACACGCCTCTGTTTACCTAGCAGCAGGTAGGAACCCGGTTGTTAATCGATTGGTGGATTGCTTTCCCGGGGGTCATAATCCCTTCAAAAAAAATTAATCATTTGGTAAGTCAATCCATGGCTGTTTGTGGGACACTGCTGTGTGCAATTGGCTGACGCATTTTGCTCACAAAATATAGTCAATTCACTTTAGAGTATATTCTATGACATTCTTGGGGAGGCATTGCATTGTCGGTGTGCCGTCCTTCAGATAAGACTTTAAATTGAGGTCCTGTCTGCCTGTTCAGGTGGATGTTAAAGATCCCATGGCGTTATTCGAAAAGAGAAGGGAGTTTCTCTCTCCCGGTGTCCTGGCCAACAATTTCTCAAATAAAATTGGTCTCTCACTCCATAACTATTTGTGGGACATTGCTGTGTGCAAATTGGCTGCCATGTTTCACCCACAATATACACATTCATTACACTTTAAAGTATATCCTGTGAAAGGCTTTGAGACATCCTCATGACGTGATAAGGTGCTAAATCAAATGCAAGGATTTTTTTTATAATCGCTAGAAAGCTTCCATTCAAACTCCAACTCTCTGCTCTTTCCCCCCAAACCCACTAATATGCTTCCCCTACTTGTGCTTTTGTGTATTCCCCAATTCTGTTTGTGTGTACACACGTACAGTCAAAAATACTGATATGCGCACACACACACACACACACACACACGTGCGTGAATGCCTGGGCACGCATGTCTATGTGTACACAAACACTTTTACACAAAGTTTCACCCACAAAAGTTTCGCCCTCAAGATATACAGTCAATTCACTTCACAGTATATTCTGTGAAACGCTTTGAGATGTCTAGAAGATGTGAAAAGCACTATAAAAAATGCAAGGATTTCACAAGTACACACATGCCTGTGTACACGTTTATGGATATACTCACACACGTTAAGGATAGGGGAACAGCTGGCTAGATGCATGCAGTGGAGCTTTTGCTGACAGGGTTCCTGTGTGCACTTTGCTCAGTGACACATTGACATGTCACATGCCCAAGAAATCTAACATTCAGGAATCAGCCAGAGAGCAAGAGACACCGCAAGTGAGATTAATAACTCACTGGGTAACCATAGAAACATCAATACAACCAGTCATCAACCAATACATTACTCTACAGTAAATACTGTAACGCGCTTTGAGACGTCTCGACGATGTGGTAAGCCACCATATCAAATGCAAGCATTATTATTATTATAAAACTCACCCACAGCTCTTTTCCCTCTTTTTCTCTTGGATTTGTGTCCTCCCCTGCCCCCGACGATCACTCTTAGGGTCTCTGTACATTAAAATAATAATAAACCTTGCACTTGATCTAGCGCTTATCATGTAATTGTTGTGTCTCAAAGCACTTCATAACATATATTGTAAAGTGGTTTGACTGTATTTGGTGGGCAAAACACGGCAGCAAATTGCACACAAACAGATGTGGTTTGAGTTACCAAATTTTTTTTTGAGAGATTATTACCCCCGGAAAGTAATCCACCAATCGACAAACAACCAGATTCGTACTTACTGCTAGGTAAACAGAGGCGTATGGAGTAAGGAAACTCGCCTAAGGTTTCACCCTGCTCAGGATTCAAACCCGGGTCCTTTCGCTTGTGAGGTGAGCGCGCTATCTACTTCGCTATGGGGCTGTGACTAACCTGCTCTTTCTCTTTCCCCCCCCCCCAGATAATGAAAATCAAACCCCATCATGCGGAGCACATAGCAGAGATGCACTTTGTACAACACAGTAAATGTGTCTGCAGGTGAGAGACTCCAAACCTGTATACATTGCCACCTCATCACTCCCCCAGACACCTGTTCCTCACACTCTGTCTCTTCCACATGCTGCTCCCCCTCACTTCCCCTCACAGTAGCCTATTCAGTCACAAGGTTATGAGTTCAAGCCCCCACATCAGGGACGATGTAACACAAGTGTTAGTGCTAAATACACAGCAGTGTTCCAACCTGTTACATATATCTTCACACCCAGTAGAGAGATTCTACTGGGGACTATTCAGTTTGAGACCATCTGGGGAGCGAGCAGGGAATGGGATTAGAGTGGAGCGCTCCAGTGGGGGAGTGAGCACCAGCACAGTCATGATGGAGGGTGGGACTCATCTTTGATGCAAAGTTCTGGAGGCAGAAGGTCAGCCTATTCACTTCCTCTTGTGGAGACACACCAGTTAACATTTCTCTTTCATTTCTCTCTCTCCCAAACTCTTTAGACCAAAGAGAGAAAGCAAAGAACCCCCCAAAAGGTAAGACTATTGTCTAACGAGGAATATATTGAACAATGAGTAAGGCTTGGTCGAGAAAGCAAACAGCAAAACAAAGGCACATTGAGCCACACCTCGTGAGAACATTATTCACTGCAAAATGCCTTGAGAGTGTTGAGATTTGGTCCCTTGACTGTAACTGTGGCCGTCAGAAATATATTAACAAGATCCCCTCCCTTCCCCACCCCCAATCTTCCCCCCTTTCCTTCCCCCAATCCCCTCTACTCCCCATCTTCTACCCAATCCCAAAGTCCACAAGGAACCGGGTCACCCAAATATCAAGGAATCAGCCAATTACACCTGAAAAGGCAGACAGTTTAATGTCTCAACCAAAGGACAGCACCTCTGACAATGCAGTGCTCTTTCCCCACCCCCCCTGCATTGCATTGAAGTGTCAGCCCAGACTGTGAGCTCGAAGACCCAACTTGGGGTTTGAACTCACAACCTTCTGATTCCGAGACGAGAGTGCGAGCTACCGACAGAACCAGGCTGACACTTAAATGAAATGTGAGCGTCCACACTCCCTTGCCTTGTGCTCTCCTGACTTTTACTGGGTGAGATGGTTTGTAGAGCGACCAATGGGCTGGGAGAGAGAGAGAGGATGGCAGAGAAAAGCATCCCTTTCCTTCGACTTTGTAGAACATTTCAGGTGGAATTGCTCTGAGCAGAGTAGGATAAGTCTCCTTCACGGGTGCCCAGACACCAGACAACGTCCAGGTATGTGCTTACAAACCCTCTTTTCCCCCCCCCGTTCTTCCTATTCCAGGAGGGAAGTGAGCACCAGCACAGACACAATGGGGAAAGAGCAGGGAAAGGGGTTAGAGTTCAGAGGTCCAGTATGAGTGCTGTCTGTGCTGGTGCTTGCTCCCTTACTGGAGCTATCTACTCTAACCCCATGGGAAGAACAGAGAGGGAGAGTGTTTGCTGGCACGTACCCAAATCCTCATGCCGCACTAACATTGGGCTGGTATGTCACTGCATGGCTTTGCTCACCCTTTCCCCAATGTCCTTTCTGCACTGTCGCCCTCTGTTGCCTTGCTAGGACCATCCGCTGGTGGGATTGGGATGAAGTGAGTGCTGTGTGGACCTGGCATTAGTTGAGTTGCCTCCTATCCTCGCCACCGCACCCCCCATATCGTCTATCTTCCTCAGCCACTCTCCTGCCAGCACCCAGCCCCTCGCTAAACCCCAGAATTGTGTTCTTTTTGCAGCAAAACGAAGAAAGGGAATGGAAAGGGTCAAAAGCGGAGGAGAAAGAAAACAAGAGACGAACAGTACAGGCTGTACGTCAGTCACTATTCACCCTTTCATTGCCTGGCCTTAATATTACCATAACCACCGCTGGTTAATTCTAAAGGCAGGGGTGGGTTAATCATTGCAAACTAGGTTGGGGACAGCTTTTACTTGATTAATTTCATCTCAAATCACTAACTCTCATTTGCTGTTTTGTTTGGGACCCGAGGAGCGGAATTTCACCCAGTCTTAGCCTGCGTGACCTTTTGTCTTCAACTCTGAAGCAGCGCAGAATTGTGACAATTTAAAAGGGTTAATGAGGGGGTTAAAATTGTCAATTGAGAGGTTAAGAGGGTTTAAAAGGATTTAGACAGGCACACGGAGAGGAAGAGTAGGAGGAAGGAGCAGGGAATTGGGAAACAGGATAGATGGCTTCACTGGGGGAGTAAACATTGAGAGAGGAAGTGGCCTCTTACCCCGGCCACAACCTCCAGAGTGCGGGCAAGTGAGCGAGCGAATGAGGCTGTAAAGTGCAGCCTCCAGCACTTCCCAGTTTAATACTAGCTTCTGTTTCTACAGGGAACATGTCACAGGCTAAGACTGGGGGGATGTTTTGGTCCCTGATTGGGATGTAGGGGCATTGGCTGATGTGAGCGCCACATAGAGAGCACTAACACAGACAGGCAGTCACCCACCCTGACCTGGCCTGACTGCACACGCATGTCTCTTGTCTTTATGTGTGCGTGTTAATGTCTCACTGTCAATAACACCCAAGCATTAATCAACTTTCCTCTTTCTTCTCCCCTTCCTCCCCACCCCACACACAAATTCACACGCACACAAACTCATACACACTCACATACACATACTCACATACTACACACACAAACCCATTCCCTCTCCCCTCCCCCCATACACACTCACAGAGTAATAATCCTGGATCTGAAAAAAAACAGTAAATTGCTTTACAACAGCCATTTTCCAGAATGTTCCAGCCGAAGGGGGATCTCTATGTGTTGGATAAACATCTCATTACTCTGAGAGAGCCCCCTCACCCCTCCCCTCCCCTCTCTCCACCTGACCTCTCTGGAGGTCATGGACTATTCATTCACAGCGAGGGCTCAATGTGGAATTGTGCTGTTTTGCCTAAAGCGTTAAATCGATTTGTGAGGGCGTTGGGGCTAGGGTTGGGGTTGGGGTGGGGGAAACTGTCACTGATCCATGGCTTCCATTTTTAATTTCAATGTTTCCTGAGAGAGAGAGAGAGTCTCATGGAATCCTACAAAATCATAGAATCTTATAGCACAGAAGGAGGCCATTCGGCCCATCGTAGCTGTGTCAGAGAAAAATCAATGCTGGGCGGATAATTTAGGGGGAAGCCGACTATGGCTAATGGTATCCGCATTGAGCTGTTGGTAGAACATTCTGGATGGTCAACCTAGTGAAAGATATGTTGGGTGTAGAGAGGGGGAATGGAATCACTGCCTCATGTTTATTTTTTGCCAAGAACATACCGGTGTATAATCGTTCTGGGGATGGGTTTGAGCCGCCGTGACCTCTGACCTGCACCGGCAGCCATTTTGTGAAATAAATGTCACTTGGGAAACTAGGGGAGAGAACCGAGGTTTCAACATTTTACTGACTGGTTTGGCTGCAATGTGAGAATTATCATTGTAGACCCCGTATTTGCAAAGGTTCTGCTAGAATGGGGATGTGATTCAAAGAGTTTTTTTCTGTCTGAATTATTATTACTTATAATAATGATGATGATAATAATAATAATAATCTGGTATTTGATACAACGCCTTTTACGTCTGGAGGACATCTCAGAGCGCTTCACAGGATTTTCTATAATGTGTAGTGACTGTGTTTTTTGTGGGCGAACACAGTTCATTCTTTTGCCCCCAACCTCCCTTTACTATGTCTGACCTCAAAGACTACTTTAGATCAAGCCTCATGTACATTTGTACCCCAAAGCACATGCTGGGGACCCCAAGCCTTGTCTCTTGCCATCCTGCACCTAATACTCTCCAGAATGAGGTAAGCAGGATGTGTCCCTCCAGGGAGAGAATGAGCATTCAATTCCAACAATCTATCTCTGGAATTTCCATGTGTAGGGATGCATGGAAATCTCAGTTTGGTTTGGACACTCTTAAGCATGGTGATGGGTTTTCCGTGCGCGTCAGACACCCAGCTGACCATAACAATAAATAAACTTTGTGTTATATACAATTTTATAGAATATAACATGGGAATAAGTTATGAGTTAAGATTCTTATCACTACAGTGTCATACTGAACCTGATGTGATACCCTACGTGGCAGTTTACACCTATTCTCACCCTCCCCCCACCCCCCCCCTCCCCTCCCCCCAGCCTGTTCAAGACCGAGGCGAGACAGGAAATCCAAGATGGCTCCATAAAAGTTTCCAAATCGGTACCATTGCCTCTGGTGAACATAACAGATTCAGTGTAAAGCTCAAAGGAAGCAGTTTTCACCCTCTGGAATTCTATCCCACAGCTCCTCTGCCTCGCCCCCTCCCTTACCTCCTTTGAGTCTCATCTCAAGACCTTCCTTTTCAATCGTGCCTTCGGTAATCTTCCCTCCTTCACCCTCCTTGCCCTCCACCCTCTCTGATTCCATCCCACAGCTTGGGTGGAAACTCGTCATTGTCCGGCACCTTGGGACGTCCTCCTGATGTGAAATGTGCTACATAAGTGTAATTGTTGTTGTTGGGGATGGAGGATGGGGTGTGGGTGGACATCTTGGAGGAGATGTGGGGACATAAATAAACAATGAGGGGAAAACCCCACATACAGTCCACACTCACACAGTGCCTTTTGCATATTAAACACCTTTATAGAGACGGAGTGGGATGAGGGGGGGAGGGGGGAGAGATAGGTCGCCATAGGTGCTGTCAAAAGAGAGGGGAATTCAGAACAGATTTGAAAACATAAGGGGGTGTGGGGGGTAACAAATCAGAGGGTTTAGGGAGAGAGTTGCGAGCGTAGGAGCATGCCTAAAAGCCTAGGCACTGCTGATGGGGCAGGGAGACATGAAGGTCTGAGTTGGTAGAACAGATGGGGTGAAATAGTAGAGGTAAGCTATGGGCAAGGGAGGAGGCATTTTCAGGTTAAGAAGCACGAGTTGGAACTAACATAAGCCACGATGTTCCCAGGCTCCTGTTGGGTCCGGGAATAATCAGGAACTAGCAAGAAGGGTACCCATCTGGAACATTTGGGATCGTTGGATAAATGCGGAGGGCTTTTCCTACCTACTGTCCGATATCTTTCTAGATCCAGGCTTTGTTCAGCGTGTCAGCCTGGCTCAGTCGCTTGCCTCTGAGACAGAAGGTTGTGGGTTCAAGCCCCCACATCAGGGATGTTGAGCTCACAGTGTAGGCTGATGCTCCAGTGCAGTGCTGGGGGGAGAGAACACTGCATTATGAGATGTTAAAACCGAGGTCCCTTCTATGCCTGTTCAGGTGATGTCAGAGATCATGCGACGCTATTGGAAGAGAGAAGGGATTTTCTCTCTCCAGGTGTCCTGGCCAAAAATTCCCCAGATAAAATCAGTTTGTGGGCTTCCCTGCATGATAAAACGGATGGCAGAAATTGGCAACCTGTCCTAATTGCCAGTGCAATGAAAGTGAAATGACTCGAGGCGATTTTTAATAATAATCCTTGCATTTGACATGAGCCTTATCATATCATTGAGACGTCTCAAAACACTTCACAGAATATAATGTAAAGTGAGTTGAATGTATATTTTGTGGGTGAAACGTTAAAGAAATGGTAGAGATGAGGTAGAGAAATGCAGGTTCTTTCTTTGCTTCCTTTATCTCTCTTCTTCCCCGCTCCCCACTGCCCCGGTCTGGCAGACAGCTTTGCACAGTGGATTTGCGTGTATGTGGCCCTGTCTCAGCGATCTCTTTTCTGTTGCCTTTTTGCAGTCGCTGTGAGCCTTGCACAGAGAGGAGAAAGCACTTGTTTGTTCAGGATCCACAGACCTGTAAATGCTCCTGTAAATTCACACAATTACGGTGCAAATCAAAGGGACTTGAATTAAATGATCGCAGTTGCAGGTTCGTCCGATCGCTTGCTCCCGGCTTCTTCCTTCTTCTCATGTCGGTGTAAGTGAGTGTGCGACTGAGTGTGTGTCAGTGAGCAAATGTGCTACTGAATGTGACCCGGTGTGTGTCATAGTGTGAGAGAGTCTGTGTCAAAGTGTGTGTGAGTGTTTTACCGAGTGTGAGCGATTGTGTCAGAGTGTGTGAGTGTTTGTTTGTGTGAGAGACTGTAAGTAAGTGTATTTGTGTATTAGAGAGTGTGTGTGTGTGTGTGTGAGTGTGTATGTGTGTGAGTGTGTGTGTATGTGTGTGTGTGTGTGTGCGCGCGCTTTTCTAATATAATATATATAGAGACTGTTAAAACATATCTGCTTATATTGGTTCTGCTGTGTCATTACTAACAATTTATTAACATCCCTTTCTGTGTGTGTATGACTGGGTGTCTGAGTGTGTGTATGTATGTGTGGGTATATGTATATGTGGGTGTATGTGTGTATGTGTGTGAGTGTATGTGTGTTTGTATGTGTGTGTGAGTGTGTAAAATATAACAAATGCTATATATAACGTCTGCTAATGAGGATTATACGATGGGATTGGCTTTGTGGGGACCATCCTAACCCCACCCCATTTCCCTTCCCAATGAAGGGACACAGAAAGGCCAGGGACTAGGAGAACAAGGAGAGAGATCTGACTGGGGAAACACACACAGAATCCTACCAACACACCCAGACAGTCAGCAATGCTACAGCACACAGGCTTAGCATTGTCAGAGAGCAATTTTAGAATAGACACCAGGACCCAGAGGGTAATTAATGATTGGAACAGATTACCAGGAAGAGTAGTTGAGACCAGGACACTGGAACTTATTTAAAAAGCAGCTCGATGTTGTAAGTAGGGGGGGGTGCGGTGGTGGTGATAAGACAACATCGTTGGGTGATCTGCAAAAAGATCAAATAGGCTGAAGGTCCATCATCTGGAGATGAACAGGGGCTGGTCTTATTGGTGTGCAGGAGAGGAGTTTGGAGTTTGAGGGAGGAGAGGAGAAACTTACTAATACTGTGTCCCTAACCTCTGAAACTCCCTCCCTCTATCCCTCCATCTCCCCATTTCCCCTCCTCTCTGTATCGGTCCAACCCTCCTTCTCTAACCATCTTGAGATCCTGCTTTGAGCTCTGCCTCTTCAGCCAGCCTATGACCATACGCTTTCCTCTCTGGCTTGCTCAATGACTGACCCCGTCGCTGTGAAATGCTTTGAGACATTATCCTGCAGGACAGGCTCTGTGTTAAACGCAGGTTTTTGCTGTTGATACATGGACAGCACTATCATAGAACAGCCCCTAGTCTCCCTCAATCTGTAAATGGCTGAATGGCTGCCCTGTCCCATCCCTGTTCCTCAGTGAGGGGCAGCTCAGCCTAACACCTGCCTGTATAGAAAAAGGGTGAAGTGGGCCCAGTTATTGGGCAGGAGCGAGCCTGTCATTGCTCGGTTTCCATGGCCACGCCAACTGGCATCAATTATTAAGGAGCCATATAAATGATTTAGCAGCTCAAGTCCAGGAGAGATTGTTGCACCACGACAGACACTGCCGCTCAGTGTGACTGGGGGTGGGTGGGTGGGGCGTGGTGGTGTGTGACTGGGTGGGGCGGGCTGTGTTTTTAGGGTCTATTGTTGCTACTGGCTTAGCTCACTTTAGGGTAGTGTGTGCACCACACTATTCAGCTGTCTAAACTCATTTCCCCATGGTGTTATCATCCCAATCTTTTCCCCTGTTCCCCTTCCCCCACCCCCAGCTTCTCGCCCATCCCCTGATTCCTCTGCCTGATTCCCCCACCAACTCAAACTCCTCAGTCTGTCTCTCCAGCCCCCCGCAATTGGGGAAGGGAATGTGAAATCTAAGCATTTGTACAATGTTAGTGCACTGAGTTGGGCTGGCAGTGAAACATTTATTGCGGGAATCGAATTGGGTGTTTTTTTTTGATACCTGAGACCTTAAAATTCCCCTCAGTCTCAGCCTTCATGCCACACAGTGTTGCCTCCAAAGCAGCCTGAGAGATGGCTTCGAAAAAGAGTCCTGTAGTGTAGTGATTAGAGCACACACCTCGTATGTGAGAAGACCTGGGTTCGATTCCCAGCCAGATCGAAACCTTAGGCAACTTTCCTCACTCCACATGTCTCTGTTTAACTAACAGTAAGTAGGAACCCAGTTGTTAGTTGATTGGAGGATCGCTTTCCAGGGTTAATACCTTCAAAAAAATAATTTGTCACTCAATCTACAACTGTTTGTGTGGACACTGCTGTGCGTAATTGGCTGCCACGTTTTACCCACAAAACAGTCAATCAACTTTACAGTGTCTTCTGTGAAGTGCTTTGAGACGTCTCAATGATGGCGTTATACCAAATGGAAGGATTATTCTTGTTATTATTCAGGCAGAATTCTGCTCCCTCTTGAATTTGAAAGCCAAAAAGTTTTGCAGGCTGAGGGAAATTTGAGGCTTGGTGCTGACAGACTCCGGTGCAGTGTGGGCAGTCAGTTACCAGTCTCGACCAATGCAAATGTCTGACCTGTGTGGTCCTGTGTGGGATGACCACATGGTGAACTCACACCCTCCTTCATTCTTTCTCCCCTCCTCCCTTTCTCCATCCCTCCTTCCTCTCTTCCATCTCTTTCTCTATCCCTGCCTACTCTCTACCATCTCTCTCTCCCTTTCTCCGTCTCTTCCTCCTACCCAACCACGCAAGTCACCATCTTCTTGAGAGAAGGGATGGGTGGGGGATGAGTGGGGGGGCACAATCGAATGGAGCAAAGACTGTGTGTTTGTCAGGGTGTGACAGAGGTGATCTCTCTCCCTCCCTCGGACCCCCTAACCTTTTGTCTCTTTCTCTCTTCCCTTCTGCAGGTGTGACAAGCCGAGAAGATAAGGCAGCCCATTATCGCCGATTGTTTTTTTGTGGGGTTATTTTTTTTTGTTCCGTTTCTGTTTTTTTTTGTTTCTTTTTATCAAGTCCGGTATCTTTAAATTAGAAGCAGGCATGAAGGATAGAGAAGTACCCAGCACTTTCACTTCCTTTACTTTCTGGAGGGAGAACGGACGACAGACAGACAAACAGACAGCGAGGACAAGGAGCAAGCGACAGAACCAGAGGAGAGAGAGAAAAAGAGAGAGAAAGATCATTCCCTGGAGACCTGCTGTGGATTTTGCCGGTGTATATTTGCTAAAGGATGAATATTATATTTCCAAGTTATTTTGCTGCTAAATTAAATTAAACAGGGAGTGAGCAAGAGAGAGAAAGAAATCCATTGACAAAATGAGAGAACTCCTGATTGATTCTTTGACAACAAGATAACGAAAAGAGGAAAGGAGAGAAAAACAGCGGAGATATACATATATATATAAAGCTTCATGACAAGACTTCATGAAAAAGTGACTGAGGAAAATAATAAATATATATTCAAAACGTGTGTATTCTGGGAAAAAAACAGATGAAGTCGTGCTCGGGAGCCAAAATGGATTATAAAAAACACACGAGAGAGAGAAAAACTAGTGTAAAAGCAGTGTTTTTCCAAGAATGGAGAGAACGAATGAGTGGCGAGAGAGAGAGGAGTGATGGTGTCGGAGAAAGACTGAACATTGAGAGTTGCTCCTCTCTGCACCCATTTGCAATGTGTGTATGGAACATGAACCCGCTGGATTTTCCCATGAACCCTTTGAGGAATGATGCTGCTTGGAACAGCTGGGAGGAACTGATGCTGACCAAGGAACATGGTGGGAAAGGGGGAAGGGTGGAGGGTGATTGGTGTGTGTTGCCTGAAGTGTCCTGTGGGTGGACAGGGTGTGGTAACCCATCTGCATTTGGATTCTCAATATTTGGTGTACATCCATCTAAGTATCTTTCCCATAGACAGTATCCTTCCCTCCCAGAATCTCTTTTGATGCCCCACTTCCCTGAACCTCTTTTGTCTCACCCCCCACCCCCCCACCTCACCCACCTGGGAGATAGTGTTTGCTGGGGTTTCTAAGTGACCTCTAGTATCACTCACCTGTCAGCTCCCAGGACAACCGTCTGATCTCTGACCCTAACCATCCAACTGAGGTTTGGAGAGTCTCTCAACAGCATTCCCAACGCAACATAATCAGGCGATTAGAGACTCTGGGAGTGATCACAGATTGGAATGTAAGTAGGGATCAGATGGTTTACATGTAGAATAACAGAATTCCCCTCCATTTTCCACGTTATGCCCTCAATGTGTGCAATGTTGTGTGGTGAAAGGTTGGAATTACCAGGCTCAACGCTGTCTGACAGGCTGGGAGAGTGGAAGCAGACTATTTATTTATTTGTATGGAGAGAATATCTTTATCGGTGGCTGGGTCAGGTACTTTGAACTCGGAGAGTGCTCTCTTGATATTCAATGTGAATTATATATATATATATTTAAAATAAATAAATAAATAATAATAATAATCTTTGATGGTAGCGCCTAAAACATCGTAAAAATGTCTCAGAGCGCTTCGTAGAATTTTCCGTCAAGTGGAGCAACTGTGTATTTTGTGGGCGAATGTGGCAGCCAATTTGTACACAGCAATGTCCCGCAAACAACCGTGGAGTGAATGACCAATTGTATTTGGGGGATTGTCGGCCAGGACATGGGGAGAGAGAGACTCCCTTCTCTTTTCCAATAGCGCCATGGGATCTTTAAATTACACCTGAACAGGCAGACAGTTTAATGTCTTAACCAAAGGACAGCACCTCTGACAATGCAGTGCTCTTTCCCCACCCCCTCTGCATTGCATTGAAGTGTCAGCCCAGACTGTGAGCTCGAAGACCCAACTTGGGGTTTGAACCCACAACCTTCTGATTCCGAGACGAGAGTGCGAGCTACCGACAGAACCAGGCTGACACTTAAATGAAATGTGAGCGTCCACACTCCCTTGCCTTGTGCTCTCCTGACTTTTACTGGGTGAGATGGTTTGTAGAGCGACCAATGGGCTGGGAGAGAGAGAGAGGATGGCAGAGAAAAGCATCCCTTTCCTTCGACTTTGTAGAACATTTCAGGTGGAATTGCTCTGAGCAGAGTAGGATAAGTCTCCTTCACGGGTGGATAAAAGCGGGGTTAGGGGGGTGGGTTGGGGGTGGGGGGGAAGGGAACCGTGTGGGAGAAGGGCGTGAAAGGAAAAGGATTAGTTAAGAGTTTATGCGGAGCCTGCAGGAGAAGATGGGGTGGGGAGCCAAGACATTGACCAAATATACGGGAGAGGTTCAGCCAAGTATATGGGTAGGGTGTTAGCAGGGGTGGAGGGCAATAGGAGGACAGGGTAGGGTGGGAGGTGGGGAAGAAAGGGAAAAGGGGATCCCTCTCCTCTCCCTATGATGGAGGGGGCGTCAGCTATCTCAGAGCAGGCATCAGGGCAGAGGAGACCTGCAGACAAGAGGAGAACCTGATTGCTGTTGTACTCAGAGCCACAGCCCAGCCGCAGGATAAGGCTTTCTGTGTTAATGTCCCACAGCCTTTAGAGCCGTCTTTGTGCGTCCGTGTGTGTTCAATCTGTCCAGCGCTCCCATCTCTGTGCATGTTCCCCGGCTTTCAAATTCCACCCGGTCTCAGCCACAAAACCCTTTTCTCTGGATGGCAATCCACTCTCAGGCTGAGACCAGGCGGATTTCGGACGTCAATCCTTCTCTCCCGACTCAGTCAAAATAATACTCCCCCCCCCACCCCAATCGGTCTAAGCAAAGCAATAAGATGTGAACCGTAAACACATTCCTTCATGATGTCATCCCGGACTGTCAGTCACAGGGAACTCAGTCCCACTTGCACCTTCCTCCTCCATCTTCCTCATCTTTATTTTCTTTCTTTCTCCCCCTCATCCTCCTCATCGAGGTCTTCTTCCTTCTCCTCTCTTCCGCCTCCTTTCTCTCCCTCTCTCTCTCTCTCCCTCTCTCCTCCCCGACCCCCTCGCTCCCCATTAACCCCCCTGTTGTGAGAGAGATGACCGTCTCAGCCTCACAGAACACTAAACAATTTGTGACCTGGTGTGTTTTATGTGTAGAATTTCTTTTATATATAATATAAAACAAAAAGATCATTAACTTTCTGTCTCCCAGTAAGAGAGCGAGAGAGAGAGTAAGATAAAGTACATTTGATTCTTTACCTTGTTTATAGTCACAGTTTTAGTATATTTTGTCACTTAAGACTATATTTATTGGTGCTACTGTGTATCTGTTTCAATTGTTTTAAACAACACCCCTCCCCAACCCAAGCCCTCCATTTAAATATTAACATCCTTACTTTGACCTAGTTAATTATCTGTAGCATCACATATTTATTTTTAAACTAAAATATGTTAAATGTTTTTTTATTAAAAAAATGTTAATTGCAATTGTTTGCTATCGTGCCTTTTTTGTGTGCTGAAGAAGTCTGACACACGCGGAAACACATGACCGTGATCAGCCGGATGTATGACCCACACAGTAACATGTCACCGTAATCAGCCGGATGTATGACCCACGCAGAAACACATCCCGTGATCAGCCCGATATATGACACACGCAGAAACACATCACCGTGATTAGCCCGATGTATGACATCATGATTAGCCGGATATATGACCCACACAGAAACACGTCACTGTGATCAGCTGCATGTATGACACATACGGAAACACATCACTGTAATCAGCCGGATGTATGACACACGTGGAACACATCACCGTGTTTAGCCAGATGTATGGCGCACACGGAAACATCATTATGATCAGCTGGATGTATGACACACACGGAAACACACCACTTTGACCAGCCCAATGTCTGACAAACGGAAACCCATCACAGTGATCAGCAGGATGTCTGACATACACGGAAACCCATCACCGAATCTCCAAACCAGACTGAGAGTTCCACGTTGTGTGCCACCTACCCATGGAAATTTCCCAAATTGAATGCACACTCTCTACCTGGAGGGATACACCCTGTGTACCGAAATCCAGAGAGCATTAGGTACAAATTGGCAAAAGCCAAGGAAACCAGTTGCTGGAGTTTAAGCTTTAACTTTAAAGTTTGATCCAGTCCATTGAGTACTTGTGTTTCCTATTCTTGAATCCTATATGTAGTACATTGCATTTATTAGTATTAAACTTCATTTGCCAGTTATGAGCCCATGTGCACACCCTATCAGATACTTTTAGTAAGACCTTTGCTGCCTCCTCTGATGCCAAAGTTCCACAAACTCGGTGTCATCCGCTAATGTAACTCTCTTACACTGCGGTCGTGAATCCAGGTCATTAATATATACATTTCATGGCTGTTTGTGGGACGTTGTTGTGTTGAAATTGGCTGCTGTGTTTACCTACAATACACAGTCACTGCACTTTACAGTAAATCCTGTGAAGTGCTTTGAGACGTCCTCCCGACATGAAAGATGCTGAATCAAATGTAAGGTTTGTTATTTTTAATAGCTTCATAACGGACCCAGACAGAGAGACTCAAAAGTGTTTCATCCTCTCAACCCGACTGAAAGACGAAGGCCCCAAAACTCCTACAAATAGTCAATCAGTCGCGCTTCATTCCTGGCAGCTCAATTGCAATGTTTTTGGCCACAGTTGAACATCTCAGCTGTCTCTGTGGGGGATTCAGGTCTGATTCAGTCAAAACACACTCCACAAAGGAACCAATTGAAGGGTAGACAAAAAATGACAAGGCTCAGCCAATTTCCTACTGAAGCCGATGAGGTTTTGGAAGCCAAAACGCTGGAATCAAAGGCTCATTGAAATGTAATCCTGCTCTCAATGTGCATCTTCCAAATCGCTCACAATCTCACACAACTAGCAAATAACCTTGAGGATTTAATAATAACAATAATTCTTGCATTTGATGTAGCGCCTTATACTATCATTGAGACATCCCAAAGCACTTCACAGAATATACTGTAAAGTGGATTGATGGTATATGTTGTGTCAATTTCGCACAGCAGTATCCCACAACTGTTGTGGATTGACTAGATTTTAAAAACATTTGGAGGGATTATTACCCCCAGAAAGCAGTCTGCTAATCTCCTAATAACTGGGTTCCTACTTACTGCTTGGTAAACAGAGATGTGTGGATTTGGAAAGTTGACTAAGGTTTCGCCCTGCCTAAGAATCAAACCCGGGTCCTTTCACTTGAGAGACAAGTGCTGTAACCACTACGCTACAGGACTCCTTAACAGCCATAGCATGTGGCACAGCACCTGTAAATTCACAACTTCCCAAAACGCTTCATAG